TTTGATCGGTCATATGATGCAGCCACATGTGCCTGTAAGCAAAGATACATCTAAAATAAGCAGTGCCTAATGATTATTCGAAAATTCAATAACCGTCAATGCCTTGCCCAAACACTGCCAGTCCACTTCAGTCTACAATGTGTTTAAAAACCAACAATACTCAAAACTGTGCCACTGAAAAAGTAATAAAAATGTAACACTGGATACACTTAACACTCCAATTTTGCATGCACTATAAATTACCCCGTTGCCCGGAAAACACTGTGGATTCCCTTAAGACTGTTCAACGTTCCCTTGCTCTTCTGCAACAGCGGCAGAGAAGATCAACAATTCACAGTCACGCCAATTAAAAAGCAGTTTCATCTCACAATCAAAACAGTTGTTCACTGAGAGCTTATTTTAAAAATATAAAACCCCCCACCACCTCAGATTCATTTCTGCTAGGCCATAAATCCTCCCAGCCCCTCCCCTCAACCAATCACTTTCTTTTTTGTACTCACTCAAAACCAGTATAAACCATCAAACCTATATCATTTCAGTCCTTCCTCCGTTTTAGACAAAACTGTCGAGTACAACAGATGAACACAAAATGTAGTCCAAGAAATTCCTTGTAAATTTTCCATTTTTTATCAAAAGTACGCAGAGGAAGCCACTGGCTTCATTCACTGAACTACTGTTTGCTGAGAAATCAAAGCACAAGTCAGCATGCAATGGTCGCGTAATAACTACACGCACGAATGGAAGTTTTTACGACAAGGGACATTTCAAAAATCCAAAATACGAAAAAAGTAAGCTCCGAACGATCACAGCTACTTGTTAGTTCGCAAAAATACCAGGCCGCACCAACCGTACACAGGAAAACGCTTTTAACTGCACAACTAAGTGCATTGCGCAGGTGGTGAATTTAAAATAGTCTCGCTAGCCTTTTTTTTGTACGAGTGACATTTGTAAATTTCAATGCCAAACTATAGGTGGTTTTTTTGAGGATAAAAACTGAAAAAATCTCGTACTGACAATTCGCAACTCATAGAACTGCAAAAAGTTCGGGTAT